CCGGTCCCCACTGAAGGACTCTCGCTCTCCAGCACCGTACAAAGGGCCAAATCGGGACCCACTCGGCGCACTCAACATGGCCGCTGTCCCAGTGACTCAGCAACTACTAACAGGCCTGACGACACAGGAGTGGCTCACCTCATTCAATAGGGAATTTAAAGACATCTGCCAGAAATTTTGGAGCCGGATCCATGACCGAGCTCAGATGCAACCCTCTCATAAAGAACAACAGCCCCACACCAACACTGTGGAAGCATACCCCACACCCAAACTGGAGACTACTAAGAGAAATAGCTTGCACTTCCTTACGCTTTCTGTGGAGTGGGTGAGGGGTGCTGAGTTCCTCCATGCCTGCTCTTCTTCCGAGCCGGGGGCTCAAATGGAGGTAACCCCCCCACCACCGTCCATATACCCAGAGGGCCGTCCGAAACCCGGAAAACCTATGGGCCCACGATCCTAAAGAAAGGATCAATGGACACCAGGCACGGGCTCCCACAAAGGTCTTGGGCCGAAGACATGGAAGATGGAGACCCCGCAGACCCATACCCAGCCGGCGGGAAACAGCACCTGACTCCCACAGACCCGATACACAGACGGGTGAGGGGAGGGGAACACAAGAGCGCCCTACCAGACATGGCGTGGACTACCACAAAGTCTGAGGGGACTGCCATACACAGGGATCGGATGACAGCCGGGCTTCTCCCTCAGGATGTCGACCCGCTCAACTGAAATTAAGTGACATCATCAAACATCATCCGTTATGCTTATTACTATGTTTTAGTTAGGCCTGTTGCCACTTATATTATTTTAAATACCCCAGTGATACCCCAGTGATATATTGCTTGTTTAACACATGCCGAGTACACAGATGGAGCTACACTGTCTCACTAGCCTCAGTGGTTTACTAACTCCCTCTCTCTGCTGCATTCCTAACCGTACATATCCATGCACACTAGCACCTAGAGAGGGTACAACACATATTGTTCGTAAATCTCCCACCTTGTAATACACGCAGACATTCGGGTCTCGGATAGTCCTACAATACATGAATCTCTCGCAACTTAATTGCACCCCAAAGGTACACTACACTTCATAGCAGTTAATCGTCAGGCACAATCAGCCACTTCTACCAAGCCTGTTAATAACTTAATGTTAACCCTTTGCAAAGGTACATACCAATACTGCTGTGGCGATTGACAAACCACTACTACCCATGTAAGCATGTTTTAAGCAACTGGTGCAAATACTCATGTTAATATCTAAACTGAAAAGTCTTGAACTCTTTGTAATCTCTTGTTTAGACCTGCGACTGTCACCCTGACATAATCTCACAATGTATAGCCTGACACTATAATATAAAATTGTGCCGTTTCCTCACATGCCTTATCAATCTACTGTTCATAATGAGCTTATAGATGCTATCGGGGCACTGTAAGATAAAATGTTATCTGTTTTTTCACATGCACAGGACAAATAAAGAATTAAATAAGAAAAGTGCATGTGGTAGAGAGGAAAATTACACGATTTTGCTAATCCATGGCAAAAAGTCACGATTTTATGAAACCTACGGAGACAAGTATTGCTTAACCTTTTCTTACTGTCCACCAAAGCAGCAAAGAATACATATAAATGGAATAAATAGAACAGACACAATAATCCCAGCCAATCCCCATCCAAATCCCACTATAAATGTAAGTAGCTCCCCCAAACTTTCCTCTTTCTTTGGAGATGCAACACTAAACAAGAATAACCAGAAGACAAGAACAATAGAAACAGTCCATAAATCAGACAAATGGCATGGGAATCAAACAGCGACCAAGTTCAAGAAATAAGTGCCAAACAGGAAACAAACATCCAGGGCATCAAAGGAATGTGGTCAATCTCGGAAATGTCCAACACGGAAGAAAATGTATAGACCAGGGATTACAGCCAAGTCAAACTTTGAAAACATAATGAACAGGAGCCCAATGGTTAAACACACAAACATAATCAGCCATGAATAACCAACACCATCCTGGACCCAACATGCAACAGTCAAGTGCAATAAGGACACCGCAGTAATCAAAACAGGGCACTACATGAAACACACAAAGCAAACATGAACAAATCCAGCACCTAACATACAGGAGAGCACCTATGAGAGAAAAAACAAACAGGGTGGGTCAAACAGGAAATAAAACAAACACTAATAAGACCACATAAGGATGGGAAAATACTTGCCTCCATATCTTTCATAAAATTCTGACTTTTCGTTATGAAATAGCAAAATCATGTAATTTTATGTTAAGACATAGAGGCTCTGATTGCAAGTATAAAGCTGCACAATCACCGCAAAAAAAGTAACAAAAAGAGAAAAATAAAATTTGTGAAAAGGGGATTCTTGTGAACAGTCGGCCGTCCTCATCAAATCCTCCAAATGCACGCTCAGCTCCGTAATCAAAGAGGAAGATGCTCCCCCAGGAAGAATGCGCACCAAAACCCGCGTGTTGCAAACACCCTTTTAACCCAACGAGCCAAAGTCATACTTAAAACCGGGAGAAAAGGAGGATGAAGAGAGAGTAAAAGATGCAGCGTTGATGACGAACGATATGCGCTGGTACAACTTTCATACTCGCGTAAGCAGGCCACTGGTGACAATGTCAGAACAAAGAGGAAAGTCAGGTACAACACCAATATAATCAAAGTTTGAGTGCGCCTGGAAATATTAAACAACACCCCATCTGGAATGAAAGAATGTCTGTCGAAATCCAGACCACGCACATCGGAGGCCCTTTTGCACAAAATTAGGCAACAAAGAGTGACCAACTTGACCAACAACAGCTGCATGCAATGGCTGAGATCCAAAAAGTGAAAGTACGCAAGACACGCCACATGTAGAAGATTACCAGGGCCTAGGCAGTCACGAAAGGCAGTCAACAGACTAGAGAGTGTTGGCCAGCCGGAAAGCCATCAAAACCCTGATGAGCCAAAGAGATAGGCGATCTGTTCAAATTGGTAGTCTTCTAATCTTGATCAGCCCCAAAAAAGGACGGCAGAAACTGCAAAATTGAAGTCACATGAGTCAAAACAGGATCCATGTCCCTAGTTAAGCACCAGCCAGTCCAAGATCGCCAAGCTGACCTGTTTGACCTTCAGTACCGGGAGCCCATGTGTATGCCAAGAGGCGTCAAGTAGCGTCCAAAACTCCAAGGACATCCCAGGGACGCCTGAAATTCGGACGAAGGAGAGACAAAGACAAAGACCCGTCCAGGAGAAGCGAGAGGAGTTGACTGGTTATGTCATGCAGAAGTGCCAGGCAGAATGGCAACAGCCAGGGGCAGTCTTCCCCAAAATGGGGCCAACAGAACCAACACAGCAAATAAATAAAAGGATAGGATTTCTGGCGCTTGTTTCTTATATGTGTTGCAGCTTGAACTTCCGAAACCAGAGTCTCTTCCTTCTGGAAATATTGTAGGTAGAAAAGGAAATGCAGGGAAGCAGCACATTCAGGGATGTTCTACATGTTTTACATAAAAATAAGCGTTTTAAAAAAATGTTACATCCCGTGGTGCGGTCTCTGACGTCATGTTGGTACACCTCATTAGATGCACTATTCAGCTATATCTCCTCTAAAAACACTTGTTTCAGATGGGGAGTGGTTTCCCCCCACTTCCCCACCTTCCACACACCCTTGCCACACTCTTCTCTGCCGCTTTTACTTATTTCCCCACGCCGACCGATATGCTTAAGCCGGCATAGGCCATATGCGCCGGCCATCTTGGTGCCCCTTTAACGTTAACACTAAATATTCTTTTACCTAACTTTTACATTTTAATGAAGGATTTTCTTTTTAATATTATTTTATTATATGTATTACTATATGCTTATCTCTTTTTATTTTCTTATTGCAAATAACATTTTATATAACTCTCAAACGACCTCAGACGTACCTAGTACGTCCGATAGCAAATAGGCACGTAGCTGATCGCTGACGATCCCCCGCCGGCGATCACGATGTGGGGACTTGCCTGGCATCTGAGGCAGTCCCCCCTGCATCCGATCCAGTTCCCCAGGCCATCGCGGGGTCCTCGCGATCACATGGCCCGAATAACCGGCTTGTGCGGTGCCTGCAGGGGCCCTGCCAGAGCTCTCAGGCAGTCCCCCTAATACCTGCAGAAAAGTTTTACAAAGTTTGTAAAACTTAAATAAAAGTTTAAAAAAGTAAATAAAAGTACATAGATCATATATATATATATATATATATATATATATATATATATATGATCTTTGTACTTTTATATACACATACATACATCATTATTAAAAGTGTATTTCAATATTAATCTATATAATTATATATATATATATATATTAATATTAAAATACACTTATAATAATGTTTATTTTATATATAGATATAAAATTATATTTTTATATATATGTATATATAAAATAATCAATAAATAAATTAAAAAAAAATCTAAATAATAACATTAAATTTAAAAAAAATTATATACCAGTTTAAATTTGTTCTAACTGTATTTTGATATTAATATACATATATATTTAAATGCAATGTGCTTATTCTCCCACCCATGTACCCATGCACAGTGTCGAATATCTGCAACACTCCATTTCCACATCACCTCTTATCGTTTGCTCTCGAGTAGTCCCTCACCCAACAACCTCAGCCTAAACCCCCCTCAACTCAGGAGGAACCTTAATTCTATTGACCTCCAGCAGATGTCAGCTGATATTGATTCACATCTGCTATCCATCCCTTTCCTCTTCTGTCCCTCACTGGTCATCTCCACATATAACACTACCCTCACCTCTGCCTTGAACGCTGCAGCCCCGCTCCAAACATGCACCTCGAGGAGGACACCCCCCCCAACCGTGGTTCAAAGTTACTAACAACCTAATCGCAGCTAAATCCAAAATCCACTATTCCATACTAATTCTTCTTGACCTTTCTGCTGCCTTTGACACTGTTGATCATACTCTCCTTCTTCAAAGTTTTTAATCACTCAGTCTCTGTGACTCTGTCCTCTCGTGGTTTTCCTCATCTCTCCCAATGCTCATTCAGTGTCTCCTTTTCTAAGGATAAACCCTCCCCTCGTCCTGTCTCGGTTGGAGTCCTCCAAAGCTCTGTCCTTGCTCCCCTTCTATTTTCTCTTTATACTGCCTCTCTTGGCAAACTAATTGCCTCTTTTGGATTCCACTACCACCTGTACGCCGATGACACCCAGATATATCTCTCCTCCCCGTACCACTCCCATGCCGTCCTGCAATGTGTCACTGCTTGCCTTTCTTCCATCTCTGACTGGATGTCCTCCCGCTTTCTGAAACTCAATCTCTCTAAAACGGAACACCTTGTCTTTCCTCCCCCTAATACTGATCCTTCTCTCTTGCTCTCCCGTCAAGTTAGTGGTATCCACATAAGTCCATCCTTGCAAGCACGCTGTCTTGGCATCATACTTGACTCTGGCCTCACCTTTGAGCCTCAGATCCAGTCATCCAGTATGTTGCCAAATCCTGTAGATTCCAACTTAAAAACATAGCCCACATACGAAAGATGCTACTAAGGGGCTTGTCCATGCTCTAGTAATTTCCCGCATGGATTATTGTAATCCTCTCCTGATTGGAGAGGTCAGGCAGTCCCCCAGGTTGCTAAAAAGTTAAAAAAAAAAAAATTATACATATATTATATATCTATGATAAATTATAAAATAAGTAAAGCATTTTATAATATACATATATAATGCATATATATGATTTCATTATAAGTGTACTTTGAGATATATACACATATATCTCAAAATACACTTATAATGAAAACATATATATGCATTATATATGTATTAGCTATGCAAATTTATTCATGGCATTCTGGGAACAAAGATTTATATTACAAAATGATGACTGGAGTGCAAACTTGGTTTCCTATAAACTTATTAAACACAAATTAATGAGAGATAACTCTTACCACAGAGTATAGCAAGGACAATGTAAACTTTTTAGATTTAACCATTTACATAGACGATAACCATATAAAAACGAAAACGTATTTTAAAACGGTGGATGTGAATAATTACATTTATTTAAAAAGCTGTTATTTCTCCCCCTAGCTGGAAGTTGAAGAGCATCTTTGGAACTGTAATTCCGAAAGCAAACCGGAAATGAAGCAATGCTAGGCGAACGTCATGAAGAACTACTGGACTGGATAATTAGAAGGAAGGCGGGAACTATGAACGCTACAAGAACCGGACAAAGTACAATGGAGACTATGCCTGAGGAAGCCGAAAAACGAGGCAAAACGCGTCTTGGCATAAAGCGGACTATTTATTTACATTGTAAATTTTGTATTATTTTTTAATGGTATATTTTATATTTTAATTTTAATACATCTACAATAAATTCATCTTCTACCTCTATCTGCATCCTGTAACTGGTTCCGGTAAGGGTAGTGTCACCCTATAAATTGACACAAAGCCAGCATACTTAGAGCCAGTTATCAAAAGGCTCTATAAAAGGTGAGCACCTATCCTTTATTATATTTTGGGTAAATCCACTTTATAATTGGAAGTACTGCACGCACGCAGAGATTTTCTATTTGTTTTTCCCTTCTATATACATCGTGGAGAGGAACCCAACTATAATGTGAGTTTATTTCCACTCACTGGCCAAATACAAATTAGTCCACTTGTATCAAACAATATTGTACTATTTTCTGTCTCTTTTTATTTTTCATGTATACCCCCTAAAACATTCTTAAAGGAGTAAGTGTTCATGTACCTATTCCTGTATAATACAGGGAGTGCAGAATTATTAGGCAAATGAGTATTTTGACCACATCATCCTCTTTATGCATGTTGTCTTACTCCAAGCTGTATAGGCTCGAAAGCCTACTACCAATTAAGCATATTAGGTGATGTGCATCTCTGTAATGAGAAGGGGTGTGTCTAATGACATCAACACCCTATATCAGGTGTGCATAATTATTAGGCAACTTCCTTTCCTTTGGCAAAATGGGTCAAAAGAAGGACTTGACAGGCTCAGAAAAGTCAAAAATAGTGAGATATCTTGCAGAGGGATGCAGCACTCTTAAAATTGCAAAGCTTCTGAAGCGTGATCATCGAACAATCAAGCGTTTCATTCAAAATAGTCAACAGGGTCGCAAGAAGCGTGTGGAAAAACCAAAAACCAAAATAACTGCCCATGAACTGAGAAAAGTCAAGCGTGCAGCTGCCACGATGCCACTTGCCACCAGTTTGGCCATATTTCAGAGCTGCAACATCACTGGAGTGCCCAAAAGCACAAGGTGTGCAATACTCAGAGACATGGCCAAGGTAAGAAAGGCTGAAAGACGACCACCACTGAACAAGACACATAAGCTGAAACGTCAAGACTGGGCCAAGAAATATCTCAAGACTGATTTTTCTAAGGCTTTATGGACTGATGAAATGAGAGTGAGTCTTGATGGGCCAGATGGATGGGCCCGTGGCTGGATTGGTAAAGGGCAGAGAGCTCCAGTCCGACTCAGACGCCAGCAAGGTGGAGGTGGAGTACTGGTTTGGGCTGGTATCATCAAAGATGAGCTTGTGGGGCCTTTTCGGGTTGAGGATGGAGTCAAGCTCAACTCCCAGTCCCACTGCCAGTTCCTGGAAGACACCTTCTTCAAGCAGTGGTACAGGAAGAAGTCTGCATCCTTCAAGAAAAACATGATTTTCATGCAGGACAATGCTCCATCACACGCGTCCAAGTACTCCACAGCGTGGCTGGCAAGAAAGGGTATAAAAGAAGAAAATCTAATGACATGGCCTCCTTGTTCACCTGATCTGAACCCCATTGAGAACCCGTGGTCCATCATCAAATGTGAGATTTACAAGGAGGGAAAACAGTACACCTCTCTGAACAGTGTCTGGGAGGCTGTGGTTGCTGCTGCACGCAATGTTGATGGTGAACAGATCAAAACACTGACAGAATCCATGGATGGCAGGCTTTTGAGTGTCCTTGCAAAGAAAGGTGGCTATATTGGTCACTGATTTGTTTTTGTTTTGTTTTTGAATGTCAGAAATGTATATTTGTGAATGTTGAGATGTTATATTGGTTTCACTGGTAATAATAAATAATTGAAATGGGTATATATTTGTTTTTTGTTAAGTTGCCTAATAATTATGCACAGTAATAGTCACCTGCACACACAGATATCCCCCTAACATAGCTATAACTAAAAACAAACTAAAAACTACTTCCAAAAATATTCAGCTTTGATATTAATGAGTTTTTTGGGTTCATTGAGAACATGGTTGTTGTTCAATAATAAAATTAATCCTCAAAAATACAACTTGCCTAATAATTCTGCACTCCCTGTACACCTTTAAATAAACTTGTATAGCGCTGCACTTCAGCTGGGAGCTTGGAAGGTGGAAATACCAATCAGTTGTGTTTCTTGGTGATTGATATTGTGGTGGGATTCTGGGAGTACCCACAGAGTGTATTCAGCAGCTAAACTAAAATATAAACTAAAGATTTTAAAGCGCCCTTTTTTAGTCACACTGTTTTGTGCTCACAGCATAAAATCTAGCCATAACCGGATTAAACTGTAAACCCTCAGCGAAAAGTTTGTAATGGAGAACAAGATAAGTGAGGGATATATAGTCATATGTCGATAAAGTAGTAATTAGCAGCTGACCAAGTCAGTATGCTCACAAAGTGCATATGACAAGATCTGCTCGAGGCACATGCAGATACGTGAAAATTGCCATAGGTGAGCCAAACATAATTAAACGACCCTAGAGTTATGGCATAGGGACTTAATTGCATATACCAACATAACAGTGAGTACAATAGTTTGAAATAATGAGCCGCCAGAGCGTGAGTGAATACACGTGAGCACATGTATATATATTTGTGTACACACACCCCTAACCATTATCTACCTACATATATATTTACATATTAAGATACGTATAATGTATATCATGGTTATCTATGGTTTGCAAGCCCGGCATAAAAGTGATCCAAGGCTGTTGAGATATAAACTAAAAGTGCTCTCATAGTGCTGTAACCTATGTTATACATTGTATGGTTAAAAGGAGAGTAAATAAAGTTTGTTGTTACTCCTTCCTTTCCCCCCTGAAACAGGAAGCAGAAGCTGAGTTAGTTACAATAAAGACACAGAAGCAAGAAGTACCTGTGTGGTTTTCCCTCCATCTTTATATAAGGTTATTCTTATATACCTGGTTATCCTACTCTAATAATTATCAGATTTTACCATTTACATGACGTGAAGTCATGATTTTATTAACGACACGGAGTCGAGTATTATTATGCTGCACTCTTTCTTTTTTTTCCTCAGTAGCAAAGAAAACTTTAACAATGAAATGAACACAGGAAACAGTCAGTAACACATATCTTCTATGGCAACCAACAGCCAATCCAGCATAATAGGCGGTATTCCCTGAACATTTTCCTCTTTCTCGCGATCCCGAACTTGTACCGCCATCCAAACGAAACAGGAATTCCAATAAGGGAACAATGCCATCAGTTAATAAACTTCCAATTCAAGCTGTACTAGAGAGTAGAATATGGTAATATCCAAGTATAAAACTGGATTTATGCATAAATAACACATTATACATGACTAGGTAATATCTGATGTAACTATTGTTTAGTCAACATGTATGAAGTGGATACAAACATGACGGATTAAACCAAATCACCTTACCAGTGAACAAATCTGAACCAAAGACAACTTACCGTAAATAACTTTCCCAGGTGAACCACCATCCAGGGAAGGGTTGGAGGGATAATACTCGCCTCCATGTCGTTAATAAAATCATGACTTTACGTCATGTAAATAGTAAAATCTGGTAATTTTATTAAGACACAGAGGCTCCTATTATGCTGGTTTAAAGCTGTGATATAACTGTTCCAGCAAAGTGTTCGATCGGTTTGAAGTAAAAATCCCGAAAAGTGGATTCCGAAGACCAGTCGGCAGCTCGTAAAATATCTTCTAGTCGACATCCTAGCGCAGAGGCTTTAGAGGCCATAGCTCCTCGAACAGAATGTGGAGAGAACACGGAAGTATCAATGCCTGCCAATGTCATAATCCATTTGACCCATCTGGCCAGGGAAGGAGAAGATACTGGAATATGTGGTTTGCGGACAGAGATAAATAACTGAGGTCTCATAGGGTTCCGGAGCGGAGCCGTACGGAGTTTGTATTCCCGTAGTCATGCCACTGGGCACAAGAGAAGCTTCTTCGGAAACGCCAGGTATAGTATGGACTTAGAAGACGTTTTGGTCCTTCTAGAGATAGAAGGTGTAAAGGATCGAGTGTCTGTGTCCAAAGCTCGTACGTCCGAGACTCTTTTGCATGAAATGAGGCAGAAAAGCATGACCAGTTTTGCTGACAGTTGTTTGAGTGAGGAGAAAAGAAATATCCCAGAGTGTAGAGTAACAAGGGAGCGGAGGATGAGAACGTAGTAAGCGACAGACAAAGGGATGTCGTCCGATGGGGGTACCATCGATGCCTTGATGTCTAGGGGAAAGCGCCGAGCGGTAAAGGTTAACCGTGCGGTCCGCTTTTTCTGCTTCAAAAAGGGAGGTCAAAAATTGTAAGATGGCTGTCAAAGGTGCCGATAAGGGATCCAGGTTTCTTCCCAAGCACCAGCCATTCCATGCATTCCAAGCAGATTTATAAGCTTGTCTCGTGCCAGGTGCCCATGCATTCTCGATAAGTCTGAGAGTTGATTGCGGAACACCTTCGATTGACCAAGGTCCCCTGAAACCAGCCATGCCATAAGTCGAAGAAGGCTCTGGAGGATTAAAGGGTGAGATTGACCGTCCGGATCCTGAAGCAGAGAATCGTACGATGTGAGAAGGCAGGGAAAATCTATCACCATTTCCAGTAGATGGGGAAACCATGGTTGTGACGGCCATAGGGGAGTCACAATTACAATTACAACCTGCCCTTTTGGCGACACAGATGTAGAAGGCAATGGGCAATTAATTAAAAAACGCGGGAATGTGTAATTCGTCTCTGTGGCCCACTCTTGAAGGAAAGCATTCGTTGCTAGAACCGAAGGGTCTGGTCTCCAACTGAAATATTGAGGGAGTTGAGCTTTCAAATGAGAGGCAAAGAGGTCTATTCCCAGAGGTCCCCAGGTGTCCGTGATGTTCCTGAATGTCAAGGGGTCCAGGTGATTGATGTATCTGACTGCAGATATGTTGTCCATCTTCAATAGAATTGTGCATTGAGAGTGAGTCAAAGGACCCGGCTAGAAGCTCCAAGCAATTGATATGCAGTGTCGATTCGAGTTCCGACCATCGGCCTCCCATGGAGATATCTCCACAATGCGCACCCATTCCATGCTTCCGTGTGGAGGAGCCACCAGTGAAGTTCGTCTTTTGCCTCTTTGTCTAACATTACCATATCCTCGTATGATGCTCGCCTCTGAGATGAGAGGCTTGTAGCTGTTGGAGAGCCCGGTAATGGAGTGGGCCTGGGAATATGGCTTGAATGGAAGCCGCCAGGAGTCCGATGACTCGTGCCAGATGTTTGAGGGAAAGTTGGGGGGCGGCCAACGTGCGTTTGATTTCTTTTTTGATGTTCAGCAGTTTTGATGCTGGGAGATGTAGCGTTTGTGAGATTGAGTCGATCAGTAATCCTAGTAATTCGATATTTTGAGCCAGTGTCAAAATAGATTTTTCCCAATTTATAAGGAAACCCAGGTTTTGCAATAGTCCATGTGAGATGTGTGTGGAGAAGGTCGGTAGACTGGGCTAGAAGGAGGATATCGTCTAGGTATATGATAAGCCGAACACTTCGACTTCGAAGCAGAGCAATTACGGGTTTTATAACTTTTGTGAAACACCACGGGGCTGATGATAGTACGAACGGGAGGCATGTGAACCTCCATTTCCTTCCTTGCCATGTGAATTGAAGAAAATTGTGATGTCTTTCCGATATAGGGATCATGAGATACGTGTCTTGTAAGTCTAGTTTGGCCATCTAGTCTTCGGGTTGTAGAAGATCGCGCAGGCAGTGTATGCCTTCCATTTTGAATGATTACGTGATAGGACACGTAAGCGTTCAATTGTTTCAAATTTATGACTGGTCTCAGTCCTCCGCCTTTCTTAGGTACCAGGAAGAGATTGCTGACATACCCAGGTGTATTGGTTGGGATCTCTGTGATGGCTTGTTGCGCATCAATTCCTGAATTTCCTTGGATACAAGGATAGCATCGTGTTGGGAAAAAACAATCTCTCTGGCAGGGAGTGTTGGGTCGGGTGTGACACAAAATCTATACAATAACCTGTTACAGCTTGAAGGACCCAAGCATCTGACGTCAGATGCGACAACACATGGGAAAAATGTCTGAGTCTGCCCCCCACAACCTGAAGGGAAGAAAGGGAAGAGTAGACACTTACCATAAGGTCATTGTCCAGCAGGAGCTCCTAGGATGCCCCTAGCGACCCAGGTTCTGCCTCTTTGGGGAAAGAAAGCTGGTGCGGCCCTTTGTTCTTGAAAGCCAGCTCTTCCCGAATAGGAACCTCGGTACTGCCTGCACAAACCTCTCTGAATACGGCTGGACAGACGGCTCCTACCTCTTCCGGCCCCAGCAAAACTCTTTTGGTGAAAGATCTTGCGCATATTATTCTGAGCTTTATCTAAAGCCGTGAAGGTGTGTACAAATGACCCTAACTCTTTGACAAAAGAGTCAACAAATAATAGCCCTTTAGCCTGGGCACCCGGCTCATTAATTGACTAGCTTTGGCTCGATTTTGAGCAAAATAGATTTGCGGCGCTCTGTAGCCAGTGCCGAATTCACGTTTCCCACTAGGCAAATAATCCTTTGGATCCATCCACGATGACATCCCTATCAAGCTCCGGGTCATCTTCGACCGCCTCATATTTTTTGCCGCAGGGCCAAAGATGTCCAATGCCTTGTCTTGACAATTAGTCAGGGCAAAATCGAGACCTTTCCTAGGTTTCCACCCAGTTTTCCCTAGGAATTGGGCAATTTTTGGGGTCCACGATGGGCGTTTTGCACGCGTCATCTGGGACGGGGGCATTCTGCCCTCAATTTGTTCCTGGTAGCCTTGTCTAAGGGCTTGCACACTCTGGAGGCGATATATTTTGCCACATGTTCAGAAGGACACCATTCCACTGAGCGCGGGTGTCTAAGCTCAGCTGGGTCAAAAATGGGTACACCCCGAGGATCTAGGATCCTAGAGTCGTCACCAGACCCCGACAGACTTACCTGGGCCCCTGACATTGTCACGGGGAAATGCTGAAGGAGGCGGAATACTCTCCAATTGCACCGTCGGAGTCTGATTCGGACTGACCATCCAAAACGTCCTTATCGGACTCATCTATTTCCTCCTCAATGTCGCTGAGTTCTGACTCCAGCTGGGCTCTCGCCCGCTTCCACAATCTAGCCAATTTTCTTTTGCGCAGTGGTAGTTGAGTGCCATCTGAGACAGTAGTGACACTGTCAGTCAAAGCAGTTTTGGAGTCATATCATACACATTTATCTCAATACCCAGCTTCCCCACAAACACTTATTTGGGGCTATTGCACAGCGCTGACATTTATCTACTTTTGGACATTCTACCACATCGGTTTACGGAATAACCTTTTATGTCTGGCAGCTAAAAAATGTTTTATCTTTGGACTTTTAATATTTGGTGTCATACAGACGATTAAATTTTATATTGCGCTATTTTGTTCTATTTTTTTTTTTGAGTTTTGGAGGAATGCTTGGTCTTTGCCGTAGCCTTACGGCCTTGAGAGACCGGTGTCATGCTAGGTGCAGTTGACATACCCGTCTGCTGCGCAGACTGTTGGGCTTGTAGCAGGGCCTGGGTAATACTCTGCGACAGAGGTGTCGACACAGCGCCCATAGCAGAAACCATAGCCTGCGTAATGGACCGGGAAACAGAGGCATCGAATAATGCTTGTATGTCCGCAGGAGCGGAGAAATCAGGGAACAGAGTCCCTTCCCCTGGCTTACCGCGGGTAATCTGAGGGGTCGCTTGTGACCCAGAGGCCAAATTTAAATTGTTATCAGACTGCATTATAAAGTAAGTGAAATAATTATTGATGCTACTAAAGTAACCTAACTACAGGGTTGAGTAACCCAGTGAGGGAGAAAATGCTGTAAGAAAATAAAAAGCAACTTGCAATTTGACAGAAAAGGCACACAGAGAGACATAGAGCTGTCTGTTCGCCAAAAACGCTAAACCCCAACAAGGTGAAACAGGAAGGGGCAAGGTTATCGGGAAAAACGCGTGAAATTCTGCAAACGGCCCATTTGTGTAAAGATCCAGTACACACTTGGTAAATGAACGAACGGTAAAAGAAACGAACTGTGCGCATGAACGCACAGTTCATTCAAACCCATGAATGGTGAAAGTACACGAACGTGGTTCGCATGAACAGAATGTACAGACTCTAACGAACGGCAAAACCAACAAACGGCATAAATGACCGAACACAGAAGCAGAGAAAAAAAGAAAAGAAAAAGGGCACAAAAAAACGCCACGAGACAGGACAGAGAAGGATAATGAAGCTCTATCTCCTGGTGCCCCACAAAATGAATTATAGGGGACCAGGAGGTAGAGCCACCATAAAGATTAAACACAATGTTAAAGCAATACAATTAAATTAAAAAAATAGGTAAAACAACAAACGGATACCAATTAATACCCTCAATCTTAAGGTAACATAGTCACTCTATAGAGAATAATTATTAAACATAAATTAAGGTTAAAAGAAATTTAAATTCATTAATTAAATGAGAATTAAAAATTAACATAAAGGCTAAAATTTAAATTAATAGGTATAAATATATAAGATAACAATCCCACAGTTAAGGAACTATGGGATCAGTGTACTAAACTGAGGGAGCAGCAAAGAAAGAGGAAATTATTCAGGGAATACCGCCTATGCTGGAGAGTAGAACCTGATTGGCTGTTGGTTGCCATGGAAGAGATGTGTTACTGACTGTTTCCTGTGTTCATTTCATTGTTAAAGTTTTATTTGTTGCTGAGGGAAATAAACAAAGAGTGCAGCATAATGATAAGAGCCTCTGTGTCTTAATAAAATCAAAATGGTAACAGGGGCGCTAAGGTGAATGACAGTATAGAAAACGATATAGCTTCGTAATATAGCTTCGTAAGCTAAAGGAGGCATGCTGTAATCCTATGTTTAGATGAGAAGCTGAATTGTTCTAGTAGTGAAAATCGTCCTGAATGAACATATTCGCTTCCATGTACGAGGGGGAAGTGGCTCAACCTAAATATTTATCATAAAAAGATATATGCCATCTATCTGCGTGGAATGCATGTAATCTTGATCGTAATTTAGTTGTGATGCAGACAGATAGTCAATATCCCGTTGGATATCTTGAACGTACAAACACATGTACTGAATATTGATTTATGTAATGTATGCTCGAATGCGTATGGAGGTCTCTGTGTGGGTCAGCGTTAGGAGACAGCCCTTTGTAAAAGTCAGAGTTTGTATGTACAAGACGTAAAGGAGAAAAAAGTGAGGTCATGAATTGACATGAATGTAAATGAAATGAAATGCTGAATATCTGCAATCCAATTACATAGGGCAACCTCAATATATATGCCTACTGTATCTAATCAGCAAACGGCCTCTACCCAACAGGTATTTGCAAATATGGACCTATACCTGTTACTCATAACCAAAACTACTGTGTGTACCTAATTTAGTTTATTAAGTGATGTTCTAATCCAGTATAATTGGACAGAAGGAACTTACTAATACCTAATAGTACCAGCCACTTAACTTACACACATTTAATTCTACAGGCTCCACATATTTACATCTGATTTAATTAAATCTGCTCGATATAATTATACAACTGGGTAGGATTCCAATGCTCGATGCAGTTCTAATACGCCGTTGCCTCCCTACTAAAGGTCTGATTAGTGGTACCTATATATGTGAAAAATATGTATGTATATGTTTTGATAATTGGTTTATATAGCTGTGCTGGTACCTTATGTGCCATTCAAAATTCCTGCTGTGATGCGAGGTATAGTCCAAGATCGAATAGAAGTAGGATTAGCCATGTCCCTGTGTGACATATCAGACCTAGTAGGAGTGCAGGACAGGGACAGGACCATCCACCTTCCAGTCGCAGAGATGTGTTCAACAGCATGAAGTAGTTGTGTGTACCCTTACGGCATACTGGCATACTAGCTATTGCCAAGTGGAGAAACTATTAAACAAGTTGGTGACAGGTGAGTCCCCACTAGATGCCAAGCGGCTTGAGAGGCTCTACCTACGTATTGGTGTGAGGGGATTACACGGCCACTGAAACTTGTGGCAGGGTGTCAGCCTCTCTGTGACTTTTAAAGCATAAGATAGAATGGGTGTGACAAGTGAGGCCTTCTCTATGCCACCATGCGAGGCGATTAACTATGAGTTGGACCGATGGGTGTAATACCTATCAGTATGAGGATGGATGTTGGCCTCTTGGGACGACTAACGTAAGGCATAAAGGGCTTAGAAAGTATAAGCTATCGGGATCCTGGTGCCCTGCCAGCCAGTAATGAAACTAACTAAGGGAGGCAGGGTAAGGTATCGAATGAGTACGTGTAATTTTACGTATCTGAAAACGAGTAGTCAGAAATGCGGTATGACACCAAACGTGGATTGGCGCAGACCTACAGGGGTAACGAGATATAGTAGGAACTATAATATGTTATGTAAAAGAAGGTATCCTGTTCTGCCTAACAGGATGTGTAGATATGTAACTTTCAGCCATAGGTAGGATTCTGTGTAGTAAATCGTAGACCCCTAGCACCTAATGATATGATGATGTAATGTACATGAGCGAGATGTAAGGCCAGCTCATGGATCCAACCGAATAATCTATAAAAGACCTACCTAATGAATATAAGGAATATGATGAGTACTGTTGCCCTAAAATCCTGAGTACTCCGTAACTTGTAATAAACATATTAATAGTAATGCCTTTGATACGAATATACTCTAACCTGTGACCTCTAAGGAAGAAGAAATGGATACAAGTGAAGGCAACAGTCCTGATTAATAGACCTAAAGATAATGCCCGGGACCTCCTTGAGGGTAGAACCCAACTTAAGATAAAACAGTTGTGCTGTTAAGGGACATAAAATGTGGTAGTCAAGCGAGCATACTATACACTTGCGTAGAATTTAGGCAAGCAGTGAAGGAAGCCAACATAACAGGTGAAATAAAATAATTATAAATCTACAGCAAGGCAATATACAGGTAACTTACTAAACAGCACTAGTGATAATCTCTAATTCCCAGTTAAGTGCCAAAGACCCGGTCTCCCGTGAATATGAAAACAGATACAAGAAACAAATTCCTACATTAGAAATGGAATAGCAGAAACATAGGTGTAGGTTGCAAGGTGTCAATGTTGAATATAGGCTAAAGCATCGAGCCTTGGTGATATGAATATAGGAATGCACCGTGTGAGCATAGGGCTAAGTTGAGAGAAACCAAATAGTGTTTATTTAGGAGGACCAGTGTATCGCCAGCATCTACTGACAAAGCATGACAAACGATTAACAATCAAAGCGTATGCTTTACCTAAATAAAACAATCTCCAAACATCTAAACATTAGACTAACTTAAAATATGGACTAGTGCATTATCAATACTGACCACAATAGGCAGCCATATGACATTTAGTATTAATCAAAACAAAGAATCTTTAACATGCCGTTAAATTACGTGTATGTAACATATTCTTCCTCACCTTGCGGTCTCTGCACCCAGCGGCCGTGCGTTTGCATGACTGACACTTGTGGCATGTTAATTGCCGACGTCGGCGTGCATGTGACGTCACACGCGCGCTGTGCGTACACATATTGGGGTCAAAGATCAATCTCGGCCAATCAGAAAGGTAAAGCACGTATTTAAACTCCAAATTACCTTTCCTCTTTGCCCTGTCGTGGTTTCCCTTGTGGTTGTCCGAGAGTGCTTTCCTGATTCAAGTATCTTCTGGTTTTTGACTTTGGCTTTGACTTCCCTGTATTCTGGTATCCCTGACCTCTGGCTTTCCTGTATCGTTGTGTCCCTTTCTGTGTCCCCTGACCTCGGCTAGTATCCTGACTGTAAGGCCCGGTAATACGTTACCTATTAGTCACCTGTGTGACACAATTCTACGTGCTGGATCAAATAGTAATCTTGACAGTGTAGAAAAGAAACATTAAGGACTAGAAATTAAATGAGAGACATTTGTGGGCCGGAATAACTGTAACCATTAACCAACGCACTGTGAATTGTGAATAGTAGCAGTGATGGAGCTCCAATGCTGAATGCTCTGAGAATGTGAAACAAATATACTACGTACAATGCAGCCTCCTATTGCTATGATATGAATCTAATATAATTAGAGTTATGACTGAAAGACCAATGCCTTCATGTAACTTAAATTAGAAGGTAGATAACCTCACCTATGGAACAAAGAGAACTGGCAATTAACCCAAATAACACAATTGAGTCACCCAGAAAGAAAAACAGGCGCAACGTCAGGATTTACTGATTAAGCGTGAAAATAATTAACGGGCAAGTGCTTGTTTGATTTGAATTAATTTTCACATAAAATATCAGACATGCCATCAAACCATAAGATCGTGACCCACGTATGTGAAATGAAGCAGGAATTGATACATAAAAAAAACCTTTAATTCCATATCGTCATAATAGGCATAATATCAATTAAAATCCTATTTAGCGAGATCTACTTTAACCGTTTGTTAAATCCATTGACAGACATGAGAATTGAGTATTTGTGTGGTTTAGCTGACTATGAACGAATCGAGAAGGATAGTTTTAACGCGGGCGTTCGTATATTTAATCGTATGTGAGTTTGCAGAGTCTCATTGCGGGTCGTGTGTTTGTGCGGCTATCGTTTAAGTTCATGCTTTAGTTCCTGAGAATTAGGTAATGTATTTCGTGGGGTTTAGATAATGTAACTAGCGATACGTGCGTATGCAAATATTATTGCCGAACGAAGCACACAAGGCACGAAAGGCTAGGTCAC